TGCCTATTCCAGAAAGCCTATGAAGTCATTCAGGCGTAATGAACGGTAACCAACGTCTGGTTGACAACAGAGGGTGCAACCTGGTGTTGTGACGACACTACTGTGGTACATGATGTGTGCGTATGTTTCTACAGTGCCGTTTCGTGCGACCTTAGCAACAATATCCAAGGGGCGGGGCTTAGCGGAAAGGTCTCTCTTATAATATATACAAAAAATGTCATTTTTTAAGGTGCAAGTATCCATTTCAGCGAGCTGCTTGCACCATCATTTTAGTCGGCGAGCCGCATTGGTCACGCATCATTAATTTTATTCATTGTGAGGGAGCATGGCTGAATTTTAACAATATTGTACGTGTTGAAAATTTAACAGCTATGTCGAAAAAATTTGCTCTCATGACTGATTTTCACCTGAAGCCTTTCCTGCATTTTCTTTTATTTCATTATTTTTTTTCTTATTTATTTTAAAACAGCACCGCCAACATCTCGCAACTTACTGAGGGACTACCATTGGCTTAGCCTGAGCCACTGGCTACTTACAAATAGAACACCGCGCAGTGGATAGCGCCGCTAGACCTTTGCTATAGCAGCAGTAGACTGAGATACAATCTTGCAAATGTAGACATTTCATGTTTTTTCCGTTTTAAAATATTTGTGCTCGTTTTTTAGTTTTATCGTTGATGTAATCCATAATAGTAACTACGTAGAGTGAAATGCTAGACCTCTAAGAGTCCCTCAGTGGTAGTTGCCAGGTTATCGGAAATTTTCATTTCAATTTTCGCGAAAATGGTCTATAGGCCTATATTTTTAACAACGCAATTAGTGAGGAAAACAGGCAAAACAAGTGTAAAGCTCCCAGGGGTCATCCTTCCATTACTAATCTGTCGCATTCCCGAACCTCTACTAGGTTAATACAGTAGAAGTGTTGTAGTAACTGTAGATAGTGCAACGAATTGTGTAAATTTTTATAGTATTTATCTATTTTCATTATTTACTTATGCGCTACAATACTGTAGTTATATCCATTAGTCAGGGCTAATAGTGATTTGTAGCTTTCGAATGAAAATGCCATTTAACTAAAATTTCAATCAGCAATATCCAAAATAACAATAAACATACAATTTACAGTACAAAGCCAAGTACTGAAATGATGAAGGTAATAGATGCTAAATTCAGTATCAGTAAGCATACAGTTTCCTTCAGTTTGTTAGTTCTTAGATTGTAAATTATAAGCAGTGTTATTGCAATATTATGTAAATTTTATGTAGGAACATTTTGATATTTTATTTATACCAACATTATATATAGCATTTTTAGTTTGGAGTTTTTAAATGTAAATTTATAACTATGAAAATGTTTGCTATTACATATTGACTTCCATTTTGTGTTCATCAAACTTTTTCTTTTATTTTCTACTGTATAAAGGAAATCATGTATTAGTTTTATTAGGTAAAGATTAATCATTTTACAGTATTAAATGTAGCAAATTTTCACATCTGTATTTAGTCATTTAAACTTTTTGTTAAAAAAAAAACAAATAAAAAATAGCTTAAAAATATTAAAAATAGTAATAAAAAGGTATTACCAGTATTTACATATTAATTTCAAAATGTATCAGTAATGTAAAGTAAGTTACATATTTACATCTAAGAGTACCACATGAGTGCGGAAGCAAGCCTACCTCGTTTTTACCATTATTCTAAAAGAAAACTTGGGAGAATACGCATGTTCTACAGATACATGTTATCACCCAACGCACATAGAAGAACACTGTATACAAGATAACATGTTCCCATTGCGATATAATATACATTGGTGAAACTGGCAGAACCATTGGGTCCAGAATAAAAGAACATGTACGCTTGCAAACAGTATATACGCATCTAGCAACGTACAATAAAAGACCTATACTTGGAGATATTTCTTGGGAGATCTTGCACCCTAACATTAATTTGCCCTATGTCTGAAGAATAATAGAATGTGTGGGTGGTAGTAGTAGGTTTGCCTCATCAACGACCACTTTCCATGGACCCGAGTGTAGCTCCTACGAGAGGATTCTTTTGATAATGAGGCATCAAATCAACTTTAAAAGGTACCACAGTTTAAAACAAAACATAATCTATCTTTTTATTATCATAAATCACACTTGTGTGATCTTTTAAAACCTGTAACAATGATTATAGTATATATATATATATATATATATATATATATATATATATATATATATATATATTTATAT